GTCCACATGGGGGCAGCCATCTTTGACCACATGGGGGTGGCCATCTTGTGTGTTGGAGTGATGGTCAATTTGCATATTACTCTTTTATTAGATAGGATTGCCTCTACCTATAGGTCCTTCCTTTCCCGTATCCTGGGGTCCCTGTCCCAGAGGCAACTGTTGTCCTTAATCTAGTGGTATCATTGGCTCACTGTCCCCACATATGCAGAGATATGTCCTATTTCCCTTGGATATATACCTATGAATGGAGAGAATGGCATTTTATCTATTGTATAAGGTAGGGATCTGATTTCATTTTTTTCATATGAATAACTTACTGTCTTGTCACAATTTGTAGACTGGTTCATCATTTACCCACTACACTGTGATGCCAGCTATGTCCATGTGAGCCAGTTTCTAGACTCGCCATTACCTTCCATTATTCAAGTTTTTCTATTCTCTATGACAGCAATTTTCAACTGGTGTGTCGTAAGAATTTTTAAAACATACAATTCCCGACTATGTAATCAGGGGCGTCACCTCTTTTCCCTTAGATTGTCAAATAAAAAAATGACAGCTAAGGCAGTGGTTCTCAACCTTCCCTCAACCTTCCTAATGCCGTGACCCTTTAATACAGTTCCTCATGTTGTGGTGACCCCCAATTTCATTGTGACAAATTGAACATAATTAAAGCATAGTGATTAATCACAAAAACAATATGTAATTATATATGTGTTTTCCGATGGTCTTAGGCGACCCCTGTGAAAGGGTCATTCGACCCCCCTCCCAAAGGGGTCACGACCCACAGGTTGAGAACTGCTGATCTAAGGGAAACACAACAATAGCCATCCTGTGTGAATCCCCTATCTTGAACCATATATATATAGATATATAGATAGATATAGATATATATCATATAATGGCATTGCATCTTATTGGTCACATTGCATAATAAGGTTGAATCTGATTGGTTAATTCTGAGTACCACAGATGTTATATAGGCACTTGATTTTTAAAAAATCACATTGGAGCATAAAGGGTAGGTAATTACTATTATTATTTTTTGTAAATCAATCAAAATAACACCTATTTTTGGTCGTCAGCAACTGATACAGTATTTTTTGATGTGCTGCAGAATTTTAGTAATTAATTTATGTATGCCATGAGATGAAAAAGGCTGAAAATCACTACTCTATGATAAAATTATACTGTGTTAATTTTAGTGACATTATTTTAGGTTCTAATATGTGGTATGGAATGTCATGCCACCTGTCTCTCCTCCTTTAGGAATCTCATGGTACTGTGTTCGTCCCTGTACACTTTAGATTCGGCTTGTCAAGTTTCTTGAAAGCTCTTGTTGAAATATTAATTGAACGTGCATTAATTAATGCTGTCAGTCATTTTGGGAAGAACTAATAAATTGAGACTTTCCAACACCCTGACACATCTCTCAGTTATTAGATCTTCTTTAATATCTTTCTAAAAGGCCTAGAGAGTACTGCACATCTTTTGGTAGACATTTCTGAGAATCCTATATTGTTATAGTTGTAAATGGTGTTTGATAATTTTTTGCTAGTGTGTAAAAATTACAAATGATTTTAACATTAATATTTTATTCAGACCCCTTTTAAACTCCTTTAGTATTTGGAATAATTTATACATACATTTTGCATTTTCTCTATAGACAGTCTAACATCCATGATTAAAAACAGTTTTGCTTTTGTATTTTTGGTCATAGAGTTATGCATATAAGTAGTGGTAGTAAGTATTCTTTTCTTCTTCCTGATTTTAAAAGAGCTATTTAAAACTTCACAATAAAGAATGAATAAAAAATGCTGAGATTTTGCTAACTACCTTTTATGTGGTTAAGAATGGTCTCTTCTATTTCCTATTTTGCTAGGAGTTTTTGTCTTGGAATTTTATCAAATGGTTTTCTGTGTATTGAGATAATCATAAGGCTTTTTAAAAAATACTTTAATGGAGTAAATCATATTATAGGTTATTTTCTAACATTACACCAATATTATGTCCTTTCCAATTCTTTCATGATGTATTATCACCGGATTCAATTTGCTAATAATTGTTGAGGTTGACCGAAGATTTTTCTTTTTTGAAGATGTTTTTTAATTGATGTTATGCTGACCTCATAATTTGAGTTGCGGAAAAATGCTTTTTCTATTCTCTGAAAGAATTAGTATCAGAGTGAGTTATTTGTTTCTTAAATACTTGGTGGAACTGGCCAATAAAGCCATCTGGCCTTGATATTTCATTTCTGGAAAGATTTTTGACTACTATTTAAATGTTTCTAATGGTTATAGGATGACTCATGTTTTCCACTTTTTTCTAGTCAGTTTTGGTAGATTTTTATAGCTTAGAGATTTTCCTTTTCATTTAAATTCAATATTTATTGGCATTTATAGATTTCAATAAATGGTAAGCTGCCCTTATATTCTTTGCTACTTGATGATTACATATTTTTATACTTTATTGGACTTGGTTTGCTCATTTATGTCTGTGTCATGAGTGAGTTGACCTATAATTTTTATTTCTCTTTGTATTTGTCATCCTTCAGTATCAATATTATAACTTCCGAAATAGTCTGAGAGTGTATTTATCTTTCTCCATTCTTTGGAAAAGTTTGTAAAAGACTAGAATTATCTGTCTCTTGGGAGACCTTTTTTAGAACTCACCTGTAAAATTATTTGAGTTTAATGTTTACTTTGTGGGGATATTTTAAACTATTTTTTCAGTTTCTTCAGTTTGTTTAGTTGTTCTACTTCTTTTGACATTTTATATTTTCATAGGGATCTATTTCACTTAGGTTCTTCAATTATTGGCATAATATTTCTATGGTACTATCTTATTATCTTTTTAATCTATGATGGATCCATAGTATGCCCTTTTTAAAATTTAATATTAAAATTTTATTTTAATTTATTTTATTTTGTCATTATATTACTTTTCTAGATAATACTGTCATAAGTTTATTTTTATCCCTAATATTAATTTGTGTTTTCTTTCTTGTTTTTAACAGTCTTATCAGAAATTGTTCTATATTACCAATGTCTTAAAGTGGTTGCCTACTTTTTAAAAAATTAAACTTTTAAAAGCACATAACATGTTAGGGCTACATATTTCCTTTGCTTGGCTCCATCCTTCAGGATTTGATAAGTTATATTGTCTGCTTGATAATTATTCTGCTCACTATTTCTGTGTATTCTTGCTTCTCCTCAGTTCTGGAAAATTCTCAGTTGCTATAGTTTTATATCTTCCCTCTGTCTTTTCTCCTTCTGGGACTCTAGACATGTAATAGATCTTCTTATTTTACCTTTCATAACTTTCAATATCTCATAGTTTTTATCCTCTGATATTACTGTGCTGCATTATCGGTGGTTTATAAAAACCTCTCTTCTGTTTCACCACTTCTTGCTTCTGCAACATTGAAACTTAACTCATTTATTCTACCTTTTATACAAAAAATTCTTTGCTGCAAATTGTGTTTGGTTCTTTCTCAAATCTGGCCATATTTGCTTAATCTCTCCTGGTTTATTCATTTATGATTCCATCCTTTGTTTCTTTAAATATTTAATACATGTTTATTTTATGTGCTTTTTCTGATAATTCTGATATCTGAAGTGCTGGCCAGGGGAATCTGTCTGTGTTGACTCTTATCAGTGGTGGTTTTCTTCTGGGTTTAGTAATTTTTGAATATGATCTCATTTTTGGTTTATCTTAATTTATGGGAAACTTGGAGACATTCAACTGCAGGACCTTTTCTGAGAAGGGCATTTGTTTTAGCTTCAGGTGGGCATTGATAACACTACTGATCTGGAACCACTTTGGCCTATTACGGGCTCTCTGACTTAATCCATGGCATCATGTTCAGCCCCATATTCCTTCCTCCTGAAGGTGCAATGCAAATAAGGGCATTTGCCCTCGGATACCTTGCCTTCTGACTGTGCTTACTGCTCTTCTTGTTTTTGGCACGTGCAGTTGTACATGTGTGTGATTTTTGTTTTGTTTTTCCCTTTGGATATTTCTCTTTCTATGAGCAGAGGAAGAGGAAAAATTATATTTATATGGAATCTAGTTATTTCATATCATGAGGGCCTCTCAGAATATCTGGCCTGCCGAGCTGCTTGACTTTTATGACTTTCCTATTCATAGTCTCTGCCCATTTTTTCATTTTTCACAACAAGGTTATTGCTGACATGGAGGCCCAAGTTCACAAGCTGAGAGAAGAGCTGATTAATGTGAACACACAGCGGAAGCAGCAGCTGGTAGAGCTCGGTCTTCTCCGTGAAGAGGAGAAGCAAAGGGCTGCCAGGGACCATGAGGCTACTGTCAGCAAACTGAAGGCTGAATCAGAGAAGATGAAAATAGAGCTGAGAAAGACTCATGCAGCTGAGACGGAGATGACGCTGGAAAAGGTAAGGTATCCACCTCGATGTTTTATAGACAAGTGAAACCCATGGCTGCCACTCTCACATTTCATCTCTGGAAGGTGGGGGAAAGAGAATTACTCTTCAAATTGTTCAAATGAGCAATTTAAGTATCTTTTTGTATTTCTAAGCAGCACTAAAATCATATATGGAATTTCCTAACTTTTTTTGTTGACTTTTTTTGAAGTAATTGCATAGAATATCCCATTCTGTATCAACTAAATACACACTGTGATACAACAATGTTATAATATTGTCAAATATTATACTGGTTAGGAATGCTGGGGCTGTAGCCCTGAATTTTTTTGAGACTAAGTGTCAGATATTTTCCAGATTGTCTAATAATTATTTCTAAATGTTACAGTTTTTAGAAGTGTAACATACATGATGGCATATTTTCCCAGATTGATATTTCAGATTGGGAAAAGATTTAAAATTATATATTTTTGAAATAAATGTCAGTATAATATTGACATATTTGCGGTTGACTTATCTTCCAGGAACAATCTCAAATATTCTTTCTTTTGATGTTTTGGAAAAGTGTAAATCTTTTAATTGGGTAGTAAATGTGAATTGTTCTAAGTATAACAAATGTAAATCGTCCCTTGAGTTTCTTAAGGCCAATCTATACCTTGGGATAAAGAACTTGAAAAGTGTAGCTGAAGAATCTTCTAATTCTGTTTAATTTTCCTCTCTTCTTTGTCTTTAAATAATTTTAAACCTTCATAGCGTATACAACACCGTGCTAGGCACTACTCCATTGATGTTACATGGAGAGAGAACCCAAGGTGCTTACTTTGTAGTAGCTAATTTTATCTGAGAGTCACATTTCAGCCAGCTTTGCCCTTAGCAGCATAGCTCTGAGCCAAAAAATATATAGGAAAATGTCCCTAAAGAGGTGGGAGGGAGCCTGGCTTCTTGGAGGAACAGCAAGGAGGCCACTGTGGCTGGAAATGATGATGGAGGAGGAGGACGAGGTGGAGGTGGAAAAGGAAGGAGGAGGAGATGAGGTTAAGGACAAACCCTCAGAGGTGGACCAGGCCCTGTAGGTGTGTCTGGGCCTTTAAAAGGGCTTTGCTTTGACTCTCCTTGAGTAGAGGAGGCTTGACAGGTTTTGAGCAGAGGTGTGACATCTGATTCACCTTTGAAAGGATCTCTCTGCCTGCTAACGCTGAGAATAGACTGAATTGAGGGCAAAGAAGGAAGTAGAGAGACTAGTTTAAAAGCTATTGCAAGAATTTAGACAAGAGATGATAGAGGCTTGGGCCTCAGGCAGTAGCAGTGACGGTGGTAAAAACTGATCAGATTTGGGTAATGTTCTGAAGGTACATCTGGCCAGATTTCTTGTTGGTTCAGGTGGAAACAGAGGGGGAGAGAGAGAGCAGTTAAGAATGTTTCCAAGGTGACTGGCTAGAGCCAGTGGACACAGGAGTGACCCTTCGCTGACGGGAGGAAGACTGCAAGAACGACAGGTTGGGCTGTTTGGGATGTGTTCCAGTTGAGATGCCTTTTATATATCCGAGGGAGGATGTTAGTGATAATTCCATCAAAGCAGTACAAAATGATAGTATTTTGATGCTAAAATATACAGTTTCAGGAAGTAGGGATATTTCCCTATGTGGAATAGCTTTAGTCCTCTGACAATAGCAAATAAAAGAGGGACTAATGGAGAATGAAAGTGATGTTGCAGGGACCTTTCTGGTAATTCTTACACACACCTCTCCTTGACTTCAGTCATATCTGCCATCAGTTCAAAATAATTCTAAGTAAATGGTCTTGAATGGCACAGATACCAGTGCAGCTCAGTTTAAGAAATTTGGACATACCAAAGCCAGACTCATAAAACATAAAATTTAGCCCTGCTGGTGGGGCTCAGTGGTTGAGCATAAACCTATGGACCAGGAAATCAAGGTTCGATTCCCAGTCAGGGCACACGTCCTGGTTTTGGGCTTGATTCCCAGAGTGGGGCGTGCAGGAGGCAGCCTATCAATGATTCTCTATCATCATTGATATTTCTCTCTCTCCCTCTCTCTCTCTCCCTCTCTCCCTCTCTCCCCATACAATTTAGGCCTTGATTTTTCTGTATTGTATATTCACATTTTAAATGTTTTAAATGTTTCTTTTTAATTGATAAAATTTTTCAAGTATAGGTTTATATGTATTGCTAATTGATAACAAAAGCATAACATTAGAAATCCTGGGTAATTCATTTGGCAAATATTTCTGGAAGATTTCCTATATCTCAGAAAGGCATTATCCCAAGCACTGTGGGGACACACAGAAAAAAAGGAAAAAGTGGCACTGTCTTCAAGTAGATTCTAAAAAGCAGCGACTGCAAGACACATACACACAATTGTAATGTGAGGTAGAGTATGGATTGGGGGAGAATTCTTTTCTGTTAAGGCAACCAGGGAAGATTAACTGGAAGAGATGTCACTTGAACTGAACATAAGTAGATATGTAAGATGGCATTCTAAGCCAAAGGAACAACAGTAGGAGCAAACAGAACCGTGCACATGTCATAGAGGTCAGTCAAGCAGAGTGGTTGTGATGAGGCTAAGAGACAGCTAGAAATCCTTGCAAGTCTCCAAAGCTGTGATAAGCCTATGGCTTCACTGTGGAAACAGTACGAAGCTACTGAAGATTTTGAGGAAATGAAGTGTCAATAGCCAAGTGATTATTAGGAAAATCTGTCAGTGTTGGCAAGCTGCCATAGCAGGGAAGTAGTTGGTGGGGACCTGATTAATTCAGGTCCCTGAGGACACACTAGAGGTGTACGAAGGTTGTGAGCATACAGCAGTGAGGATGAGGAGACATGCTTGAGAAGCATCTCAGAGATGGCATTGATTAGAATGGTTAAGTATAAATCGACCCTTAATCATTTGGGAATGTAGGAGGACTTTCTGATTTCAGGAAGAAAAGATTAATTCAGTTATGGACATGTTGAGTTGGAAATGCCATCACTACATCTAGCTGTGATGTTCATTTGCTATTGAAGGAACATTTGTGGGGAATCATAAGAGAAGGCAGGACCAGAAAACCCTCTCTGTAGGAGTCACCTACAAAGAGGGCCTGTTCAGGAGGGGAAATAGAAAACAGTGGTGAAGAAAGAGCTTCAGTTAAGAGTCTGGGAGAAAATAGTCAAGGAAGGGTCATCAAGGTAAAAGGAATATGAGAAGAATGAGTTTCCATGGAAATAAAGGAAGAGAATATTTAGAAAGGAGTATTTTCAAGAATGTGACAGAGAATCAGGAGGGATAAGGGTGGAGGAAAGGTCACAGGATTGGAAACTAAGAAGTCATTGATAATCTTGGACAAAGCACTGAAAATGATAGTGTGGACAGAAACATGGTTGCAAAAGGTAAGTGAGAGAGTAGGGAGGAAGTGGGGATTCATGAATACTCTATTGTTGTTGGGTTTTTTTGAAAATTTGATATTAAAAGGGAGGTGGAGTCCCAAAGAGCAGCAGGAGTTAAGGATAATATCTTTTTAGGCTGAAAATGTCTTGAAATACAGGAGAAAGAACTGATGGAGAGGAAGAGCTTAATGATGCAAAGAACCAGGGGTAATTGATCTGAGAGATGAGGGTGTGAATGAAATTACCAGCTCAGGTTGACCCTCTCCCCTTGGCTACAAGGATCCAGCCACAGAAGACATTGGTCTGTTTCTGGACCCACCTTGCTCTCTCCTGCCTCCAGGTCTTTGCACCTGCCACCCCTCTGCCTAGAATGTTCTTCTCCATGACTTTCCATGGCCATCCACCCTCCTCATCAGTCTGCACTTCTCAGTGTCCTTCCCTGACCTCTGTATCTCAAGTCTTGCCTACGTCTACCATCTTACCTTTTCCCATTGTCTTCAAGGCTCATCTCACTATCTGAAATAATCTTTTAATTTTTCACATATTTATTTTCTATTTATCCCATTGGGACTAAGCTCCATTAGCAGGACCTTGTCTATCTTGTTCATTTCTGTCCTGCTAGTGTCTAGAAAGACACTAGCCCTGGCAGTGTAAGCCTGCAAGGACGGAGTGCTCCTGAATTGAACAGAGAACAGAAGTCATACAAGAAGCTAGAAATGAGGTTGAGCATAGTAATTTTAACTGACGTGGATAAAGGTTTATCAGAATGTGGGGGCTTGGCAAGGAAAGTCTAGAGCCCTACGTGGGCTGGTGGTTACCACCATGAGTTTTGTTCTTGCTGGGTTGATGAAATGAGCCAACCCCAAAGTCCATATGACAAAATTGTAAGTGCTGGGTTCTTGATATGAAGATTAATTTGTATTTTGGATGATAAATGGTTTTACTTAACTAATAAAAGGAGTTTAGCCATTTCTAAATGCAGTGAAGACCTGGACATGGGTGCCCTGAAAACAGTCCTTGTTAAATATTTGTTTCTAAAGCTCCAGGATCATGGGTGGGGCCTGGTTTAAAGGAGGCATTCATAAATGCTGTGTGTGAATGAAAGAAGGATGCTGCACTGAGAAATCCAGTATAGCCTCTGTGAATGATAATACGGATAAATAAAAATATTGTATTGATTTACTCAAATTTGATTTTAACCATTATAAATATTTTAGGTAGGATAAAATTTATCTTTATAGTCAAATATTTATTTGTTTTTTAATGTTGTAATTTCCTCCATCTTACGTAATAAATTAAACACATAGCATCAATTTTTTTCCCATGTGGTTTGAATTTTTGGTACACAAACTAGACATTTGAGTTCTTATTATAAAAATTTAAATTAGCACTAATAGGTGGTAGGTAATTCTGTTGCTAGACTATTTTGTAATTGTGCGTCTTACTTGAATTCTTATTGTACCTTATAAAAGACTTAATGTTTTACCACGTTTAAATAAATCTGAAAGTTAAAGTGTTTGCTAGCAGTTCAAAAGCCAATCAGAATCAAGGGGGTTCTATTATTTATATATGTAAAAGGCTAATATGCCAAGTGTCCCCTCAGGAGTTTAACCAGGAGACCGGGAGTTTG